CCATAGAAATGAATGGAGAGTCCCCACAAAGATATAATGACAAACCTCTGTGTGTGTGCATGTGTGTGTGTGGACTTTTGGCTAGCTTTTGGGCAGTGTCATAATGCCATATTTTGTTAGTGGTGTTATTGGGGAATTTCCAATAAGTACTACAGTAAAAAGCTACATAATCATCTAAATTTAATGCCCCAAATCAGCTTTCTGTATTTTGGTAGCTTTCATCTACCATCTTAAAACAGCGATTGCATGTGCACGAAATTCAATCAAAGGAGTGACAAAGAGAGGCTGCAAAATCAAAAGGATGTTCCGTGACACTGCGGAGGCGCGGTGTGTGCTTAGATCCCTGTTGCATAAGGGCTTCAGAAGAGCGTTTACTCTTGCCATTTGCACAGCTGGCTGTGGTGGAATGAGGCCAAGGAACATGCTACGCTCAGAAATACTTTGTTAGTTTTTCACGGGGTTGTATTAGGTCTATATTACTTATCTAAGGGTCGTTTTAGCTGTGGATACATGAGAACATAGAATTGCTATGCTCGCCAATTGTCATCGGAATTTTGTCAGAGAGTAGCTAAGAGTTCACAAATTTCACGTGTGATGAGAGCTTTAATGTACTTCCTTTGCAACAATTTTAAATTCAGGGAAATCCTTGTGATGCTCTCAGCCCGACTCCTGTTACCTGAACCAGCCCCCCTGCCCGAGGATGTGTTCCCTGCACGTGCCACAACTGAATTGCAAAGGGAACGCGATGTTTCCTGAACACGGTAAAATGCTCCGCCTTCTGCTTCCATATAAGGCTCATGTGATTTGAGTCTTAGCAACATTTCTGTTAAGCTATATATAAAGCTGCATAAATTTCCAGGAAAAAATAGCCCAGCTGGATGGATGGCCAGTCTTCCCGATGACCTGATGACCATTCACGCAAATTCTCACAGCTGTGCTAACACTGTAAAAAACTGAGCCAACCTTGATATTAGGCATGGCAGTGTCCCTGCGTTCAGTGGTAACAACAGGTGACCTAGAAATATTGATTGCCCCCAAATTTAAGTGATATTTGAATACCTTTCATGTTTGTTCTTATTTTCGCTTGAGATACAGTTTTCAATGAGAATTACATTTTATCTTGAACCCACAAAGAACATAAATGTTATTCACGTTACAAAACATATAGGAGAAAAGTAAAATGTCAATTTAAACTATTGTTATATAATAAAGTCCGATAAAAATTATAACCAGATCCACTATAAATGTTTCACCTTGCCTATTTGGTACACTACCCATCAATAACACACATAGTATTTTTCTAATTTGCATGTTACTCACTTAACATTTACTAAAAGTATACTCAGAATTCTTTGCTAACAAGTAAATTTACAGTATGTTCACCAATTGAATACCTTTATTAGCAAGAATATGTCATATTTTTGATTCATCAAAGTAACCTCCTCTAGCAGTTATAAAAGGAGAGAAAATTCAAAGCATTCTTTCTACAAGGGACATTAAATACTGCTCTGTTTCATGGGATGAAGCAGTTAACTATTGTATTTAAAGTTAAATGACGGCCTAGAGTTTGACTATGCCATCACCACACAACCAGTTAAAAGAATGTCAGACATTCACTGTCACATACTCTTTCCATGTTAGAAAGGAAACTTGTTTTATTTTACTTATATTTTCATTCATAATTGTTAACTTAGCTTTCCAGTGCTTAACAAGTATGAACAAGTATGAAATAAATGGAAAAATGGTAAAAACCTATGGGGTGCAAAAACTTTTGACTGGTTGTATATTTCTGTAGTTTCATTTTCTACAAGAAGAAAAACTTATTGTGGTAGCAACCATTCAGTGACAAATAAATTATATGAAAGGTACAGTACTATCAGCTACTCACTACTGCATGTTAGTTAGCTCAGTACTCTACAGAACTTTACAGAACCACTCCCAGTACATCCTGACCTCTTCCATCTTCACCATGTGGTGTTTGATAGAGAAGAATGAGAGACCAGATATTTTGAGACCAAAATGAGTTTTGCCTTTACATGTCAGTTTTTGATCTTTCATTTGTTCATCATTATCATCCCACCATGTCAGGAAGAAATGGAGCGCTGGTTCCCATAGCTATCCAGCTGAGCGGTACGGAACTACGGTGGGCAAGAATGTTTGCTCACACCTGTGTTTCAGATCATCAGATCATCATATGCCCAGTGAAATGCTTTTTCCATCTCCTTCAGGGATTGTACTGAAAAGGAAAATACGTTTTATAAAGAAAAATAGTGTAAAAATATAGCTGTGAGTCAACTTGCATTGGCATTTGGGACCGGGACCACTGATCTAAGGTCAGTTTTTGTAGCTGTCCAACACATATATGTTACTGTATGTGCATCTTATTACAAGTTAGATATGGACAGTGGGTCACTATACGGCTCACAGCTCAGCCCATTCTGCTGCACCTGTTTACACTAAGAGATACACCTGCTTATGTCCTACTACTGTACGTCCTATCAGGCGTCTCTCGATCAGTGTATATTATTTACTATGGACCTTGGACATAAATGTGATTGGATGTGACTCCATCTGGCTTAACTCAGCGTAAGACTGTACAGGTTAAAGTAAAACAGTAAAAATGAATAGTACAGTATCTCTAACTGACGTCGGTGACAAAAACAAAGATCCCTGTGCGCAATGTGTTAACGGTGGGAATAGAAGCACACATTCTCCATCACTGCTATGGGCTTACACATGGAACCTCTCTTTCATGTGGTCGGGGAGGAGAGCGGAGCGGCAATGACATCGCAGAGTCTTTTTTTAATAACATACGAAGTGTGTTTCCAGTTAGGCCAGGAAATGGCGACAGGTCACAGCCCGTAATCAGTTGTTTCCCAGGGCCGGAGGGGCCGGAGGGGCCCTTGTGACATTTTACACGCAGGGGCCCGATTGGTCCCTCTTACTTCCTAAGGGGGTGAGCTGACTGTGACTGGCAGGTGCTTAGTGGCGAGGAAGCCGCTTCATTTTACATGCCACTACGGTCCCCGAAAGTAAAGGAACGTATCAGAAAAGACGAGAAATGGGAAGAAGTGGAGTATTTATGAGAAGCATATTTATGAGAGTGTTTGTCCAGTTTTAAATATTTTTCAGATGCCTTTGAAGACAGCTGTGCATAGCTACTCACAATCCGCACATCTTGAATCTGAGTTCAAAGAAAGCAGTGTATCATTCAGGTTCATTCAGGTTTATTTTTTTCCAGATTTTTTTATCTGAATGTCAGATGACTAATTTGTGTTTGCTGATAGTAAATGGTGAACTTTTGCTTATGAAGTAAACACTAAAAATACATTTTTAATTACAATAAAGAGATTTTAGAATAAGAAAAATGTTTCTGCTGGTTCTGCGATGGACCAGAATACCATCCAAGGTTGAAACTCTTCCCTGCACCTAATGATGCCAGAACTCCATCTAGGTGTTACTCCATCACACTGGCCAGGATGAGCGGCTGGAGGATGGATGGATATTTCTGGTCCCTCATTCTTCTCCATCAAACACCACATAATGGAAATGCACTGGAAGTGGTTCTGTAAAGTTCTGTGGAGTACTGAGCTAATCATCCAACTGCAAATTTTATATGTTTGCAAAATACAAATGAGAATTAAGGCACTGATATTACACATATTATTAGACTTTGTAACCTGATACTTTTTATATCTGATTATTTTGTATACAATCTCATTGTGGTGGGTGTCATAATGCAAAAACATATTTGGAACAATACTTAAAACAATTTTGAAATGTAATAGTTTGTAATGTTTTGTAGTCAAACTATGTTGTTGAAGCATGTATTTAATAAAAAAAGCAGGTTTGTGGAATTGGCTAACTACTGCAGTGCATGATGGGTATATTTTGACGCTACTTAAATTTCATCATCTGCAACTGCTGAAACTGGCATAGTCAGGCCTTAGGTGTGAATTTGGAAAGTGGGGGGGGCATGGTCCATTTTTGCCCCAGGGCCCAGTGTACAGTTGTTCCGCCACTGGATGAATGGATTAATTATTCTACAGTCATATTTCATATTTCATGAAATTCTTTAGAAGTGAAAATACCAAAAAATGTTTTGTTGATTTAAAAAAAAAAATCAACTTTATGACATTTAATTTCTGGTGAGGACCGTTCATAAGAAATGACATTTTTGGCCATCTTCCAGCAAAACAGCACCCCCAAGAGGACAGCTGTGGCATTCAGCGCCAAATTCTGCGAGTTCAATTACTGCAGGCTTCATATAAATCCATACACATCAAAGCAATTATATCCAGCATTACCATGTCAGACAAGGAGCGCTTATAAAATTAACTATTAAAGGCTCATTGGTCCAGGTTTGCAGTTTGGTTCCATAGCTAATAATACAACAATTAGTTGGTCATCCTTGTCCTAATAGCACATCAATAATGAATGCCATCAATGCTAGCATCTGTGTCTCAGTTTCATTACAAGACAGTTGATGAGTAAATTATTATGTTCTTATGTTAATTATCCATCTAGATGAGGAGGCGAATATGTACAGTTCTGTACAACAGTCATAAGCTGCCAGAGAAAGTTGTATTTAATTTTGGTCTGTAAAAGTGTGTTAGGTTAGGTTGCCATTTCAAAACCTCTCCCAAAGTCACCCCAGTATTTACCGTGACCGCCCAATATACCCCTGTATTTGTTGACTCAACCACTAATATGCCGCATCAAATTCTTTAACTAATTAAGTTAATTAATTAAGGAGCTGGAGATGAAATTTAAGAAATACAGGGAATAGCGGAGGTGCCCCTAAGGAAAGCTTCAGGAACTGAAGTGTTCTTCAAGGCAGGCAGCAAGATATCAAGACGTTTTTAATGAACAGAAGAAATTCTTCTTACTATTTATTTTGTGCATTTGCATATATTCCATCCATCCATCCATTTTCTGAAACCGCTTGTCCTATGCAGGGTCGTGAAGGGTCCAGAGCCTATATGAGAGGCTACGGGGAAAAGGCAGGGAACAACCCAGGATGGGGCGCCAACCCATTGCAGGGATATATTCTAATGTTTCAATTTTTTTTTTAATGTACATTTACTATCCAGATAAATGCAGGCAGTCCCCAGTAAAAGAACATACTCACAACTCCTCCTTACCAACGGACCGCCATTTAGTCAGCAACACTTTACTTGAGGGGACACAAGTATTTAGTGGTAACTCAGTTGCTACTGTAGTACAAATCATGAACATACATAGTCGCCACACAAGATGAAAGATGTGTCATGATTCATTAATAATGAACAAACATGAGGTCAATGTTTCACTTGCGTTATTCATTACTTCTTCTTTCAATCATTCCATAATAGTTCCTTCAGTAGTTCACTAAAATTTACAGAATTAACAGATACAGTAACAAATAAAGCAAATATAGTAATTTATGTTTATACCTATTTGTTCATGGAAGTTGCAGGAATGCATTTATTTAGTTGAATTTTTATTATTTCTCTTCATTTAGCTCTTATGGTGACTTCATGAAAACAAAGCCCCTTTTTATGAATCCTCAATCCTTGAGCTGTCGATAATTCAACCGGGAAGCTACAGGGGGCCGTGCCCATCTTTAAGGGATCGCACTTCTCAGTTTCCATAGGCAGGTCTATGCTGGGGGTACTGGAGAGTAGGATCCGCCCATCGGTCGAACCTCGGACCCAGGAGGAACAATGCAGACTCTGTCCTGGCTGTGGAACACTGGACCAGCTCTTCACCCTCACAGAGGTACTGGAGGGTTCATGGGAGTTTGCCCAACCAGTCTACATGTGTTTTGTGGATTTGGAAAAGGCATATGATCGTGTCCCTCGGGGGGGCTTCTTCAGCAGTATGAGGTATGGGGTCCGTTGGCCATCAGATCCCTGTACAAATGGAGCGAGAGTTTGGTTTGCATTGCCAGCAGTAAGTTAGACTCATTGCAGTGGGTGATGCACTGCCCCAGGGCTGCCCGTACACACTGATTCTGTTCATAACTGTTATGGATAGAATTTCTAGGCATAGCCAAGGGGTGGGAGGGGGCTTCAGGATTGTGTCTTCACGTTTTGCAGATGATATTGGCTTCAATGGGCTGTGCACTTGGCCGATTTGCAGCTCAATGTAAAGCAGCTGGGAGGAGGACCAGTCCCTCCAAGTCTGAGGTCATGGTTCTCAACCGGAAGAAGGTGGATTACCCTCTCCTGGTTGAGGATGAGTTACTGCCTCAAGCGGAGGAGTTCAAGTATCTCGGCATTTTGTTCATAAGTGAGAGATGAAGGGAGAATGAGATCGACAGACAGATTGGTGTAGCCTGGCAGTAATGTGAACGCTGTTCCGTTCTGTTTCGGTACAAAGAGTTTGCAGGTGTTACACTGCGCATACTTGAACTGTACAGCTTATAGGTCACATTAAAGGTGGGGAAAGTTTTGAAATGATTTATCGTGTCTCATTTTTCTTACATAACAAAAACCTGGCATTTTAACAGGGATATATATGTACACTTTTTATATCCACTGTATTCTACATTGATTGACAGTGCCAGTGTGTGTTGTTGGGACCAGTATTATTATCTTAAACTGAAACGAAAATGCCAAATTTATACAGATTACTAACTTTTGGACATCACAATATTCATCTCATAAATATTTTAGACAGCACTAATCTGCTTATTGAATAGTGGGCGAAAATAATGTCCGCATAGTGCTGAAAAGCCAGAGTACATTGTCTTAAATGGTAAATTTGATCTTCAGGGGGAATATTAATCCTTTATATTAATCAAACAATCGGTAAAATAATCTATAGATTAATCCATAGAAAAGTCATTTCTACCAACTATTGGTTTATTGGTAGATTTAGGCATACTATACCTCGTCTTTCCAGAATAATGTTTAGTAGAGCTGTCACCATATGTTTTATTTTGTATATTTTTATTAAAAAAAAAAGATCATTTGGCTATAAAATAACTTTATTACAGCATGTTTTGGCTGGCATACTCTACTATTATTTTGCTTTCAGATAAATTGAGATACAAAACAATCATTTATTTTACATGGCAAAAATAAACTATCTGCCAGGTAATTCTCACCAAATATATTTTTAAAATGTAAAATAAAATAATAATATAAACACTTTTTCATAGAACCAATAAGAGAATGACTCATTAGAACAAATAATAATAAAAAAAATCCTGGGTAAAATCTAATTTAGATTAATCGTCTTTTGATCATGCAATACTTCAAAGAATATTTCATGACATGGAATTTATGAACTGCACAATCCACTTCCTACTATCTCTTTTGACAATGAATATTATGACTGTGCCATGTGCTCAGTTAGACATCTTCCAGTACAACAGCGCCCCTGAGAGGATCCCTGCTGCAAAGACGGTCACCGAGTGCCAGTTCAGCACATTCTGTAACATACCCTCCTGTGGATACACAAGAATCAGGTATAAACTTAGAAACATTTCTCGGCAGAAAATTATTCAATAACTAAACAGTAGTTTATATAGGCCAAGCTAATTTATTATTATTTATCCCATGTCAACTCCACCAGTGTCCTCTGCCTTGAGCCCTGTGCTTCTGAGGTCGCGTTCCTGACTCACTGTGGCCCTCTAGTGGATTAGATGGATTATGAATGCATGAATGTTTAAAATTTTGATATATAAAATTTTATACATATTTATACTGACGTAATTATGATGAAAATTATGGCATTGCTGTTTTCATAATAAAAATAAATTGGGTTAGACAGAAGCCAAATATAAATGTTTTAATTTGAGAAAAAATATTTTCATTTATAAGTTTTTATATGACTGTATCCACTCATTTCCATAAATGCCTACCTAATGCAATGCCACATTGATCCAGAAGATTGTCCCAGGATGCACAGGACAGAACACACAGTCAGAGACTATGGGCAATTTAAAAGCACCAATTCACCTAACATCATGTTTTTGACTGTGGAATGAAACCTCGAGTACCCAGAGGAAATCCATTCAGACACAGAGAGAACATGGAATGTCCTGGAAACTTATTGCTGTGGACATATGAATTTTCCACTGCAGGAAATGAGTGTGCATCCATGGATGCAGAGTAAGTGTTTCAGTGTGTATTCCTGTAGCATGCCTTTGTCAAGCCTCTGTTTTCGGTTTTCTGAGAGTGCTGGACCCTATGGGTGGTCAGAATGGCAAACAGGGACTGCAGCCTTACCCATCCACCATGCTGCCTGATCCATAAGGAAATGTTTTCCCTGATGAACTCCAGTAGCCAGCTAATGATGTTGTGGATGATGTCGCAGTGTTTTTCTGTCAGTGCCTTAATAGAAGACAAGAACAATTATTAGAAGACTAATATTTTACAAAATATGTGCATGATATATGTAACATGTATCTTATTTTTGGAGGTATGTTCACTTCGATAGACATTATGGGTAACAATTTACGTGAAGGAACACAAATAATGTAGCAGTACAATCTTATTTAATGTATTAACCAGAAACTAAGCGTTAGTTACGTACTGATCCCATGCCATGATTAATCAATCATAATGGTTGATAATGGTTCGTATATTTCATTTAGTTACTTCATTTGTTAATGATTTGCACTTGAGTAGTACTTGTGCCTCCTTAAGTAATTAAGTGACTCACCTACATTATGTCCATCCACCATCCAATCATTTCTAAAGGTCATGTCATGTGGGGTGGTGGTAGCCAATCAAGAACAACACAGAGCACATACGCACACTGCAGGCAATTTAAAGACTCCGTATAGCACGTCTTTGGAAACCAGTGTGTCTGGAAGAGGCCCCGCTTATATAGAGTGGAAGTGAGATTGGAAGCCACAACCATGTACGTCTGAGGCGATTGCTATCCACTATGCCACAAATTATAGAAATAGTTTAATATTATTCTTCGACAGCAGAGGGTGACTTAATTGAAAGTCTTACTTCAAATGGGCAGTGAATCACTGAATGAAGAGCATGTAGTACCTTGTATACAAGTTTGTACGCAAAATGAAAAAGTGCAACCACTTTGCCCCACGTTACGTCATCGGAGAAAATCTGTTTCGCCACGGTGAAGAACACATTCTTGGAAGAATCAGAATCAATGCTATTGATTAGGCTTAAAAACGGGGGGAAAAAGAGAATAAACAGAAATCTTCAGCTTGTTATGTGTAACCTACGCATGGTGTTAAATGATTTAGCTCAAAACATAAATCTTATTTTTCAGGTAAAAAACTAGGGATACACTACTGGGCAATTAATAAACCTTTTCCTTATTACAAATAAAGAGTTAATTAAATTGAAATGTATTACTCGAAAAACATTGTAAATATTGTAGATAAAACATGTTAGAATAATGTCTTACTTATCAAGTTTACCATCCCTGTTGAGCTCGTCGGTAATATGAATCAGACATGCCACCACTTCCTTTATTTTTGGTTCCTGTCCTTCGTTTGGTTTTCCGCCCAAATCTTCAGGAGTCAAACGCACTTCAGGGTCATCTGTGTTTACTCTCTGTATAACGTATCTAAAACAACGTGATATTTAACTTTATTGGTGTATTTAAGTGTACTAATAACATGTTTTAGGTAATGTAAAAATTCATGTGATTACCCTCTGAAAACGACCACTCCTTGCTCCATTATTTTATCATCAACTGTGTCTGAAATGAAAGTCGTTAAACAATCGTTTTGCATAGTAAAACGTGTTCTGTCATAAAATACTACCTATCGAGACGTGCTGTCGAGCCTTTCTGCGCATATGCAGTTCCACCGTCTTGGGATTAGGGTTAGGTTTTAGGGGTTAGGGTTAAGGTAAGGGTTTCAAGGGTTTTGGGGGGTTGGGGTTAGGGTAAGAGTTACGGTTAGGGCTATCGATTAGCACTAAGGTAGCATTTTTCGACAAGGCAGCAAATATCGACAGAACAAAACGGACTTTTCAGTTTTTATGGATACGTAAAGTATCCCCTGCATTGTCATTAGGTATAAGCCTATTTCTTGGCGAATCGTTTTACGTACTGTATATTTAACTCTTTGCGGAGTTATGTTAGCTGAAATAACTCTTCCAGATATTGAAAAATGCACAAAAATCAAAGTAAATTATGTATGTATAATTAAGAACAATCGAAACAGTGTGATTTGACCCCTTGTAGTTCGTAAATCAGAATTTTCTTATTACCTTCCCCGCCAGTAGCTACGTCTCGGTGATACAGATCAGATCTTTCAGGAAAAGCTGCCATTGTTATTAATTGATATATCCAAAAACTCTGTAATGTATTATTGAGGGTGTCTTAGTTGTTTGCACAGACGAAATACTGGGTGCACAATCGGGGAATTTACTAAGCGCTTAATGAAATCCTTCCTGTAGAACTGCGCAGTATGACTGTGACGTCAGACGCTGCCCATAATGAAGCGACGCGGAACAATTTTGCCTTCGCATCGTCATCCCGACTCTTAATTCTTGTTAATCACTGCTAGTTAAGCAAGTTCGCTATAGTATCATTACGCTATTTCATTTGCTCTTGCAATTGTTTTATTATTTTAATGTTATTTTTCGAAATCGAAGTTGCAACTTTTCTGCTCTGTTCTGCTTCCACAACTCTGCCTAACTACCAAGTAGTTAGTAGGTATTACCAACCACCACCAGGTTTTAAGGATGTACGCTACAGGATTTATGATAATCTTTATTTATATAGTACTTTTCATACAAGGAATGCAGCTCAAAGTGCTTCACATATCAAAATAAAACCAGAGAATCAATTAGCACAGAGATGAATGAAATAACAGAAGGATGGAATAAATCAAAGATTTAAAGTTAAATTAAGCAAATTAGCAATAATACAAGAAAGTGCAAATAAAATATAAACAAGATATAAATAATGTCACACTAATATGAGTGAAAGGAAAATAAAATGAAGTATAATAAAATACTGTAAACTGGTGAAATGACAATCTAAAAAGATGTTTTCAATAGCTTTTTAAAAGTCTTAGGCCACTCCGCTTCTCTAATGCCTTCCGTCAGTGTGTTCCACAGCTCTGGAGCATAATAGCTAAAAGCTGTTACACAAAGATGTCTATGTTTCATCTTTGGAATACACAGAGGTCTAGACGTTCTCAGCGTTCTAGTGGGAGTATGAAAGCTAAGAAGGTCAGTAATGTGTGAAGGTGCCAGTCCATTTAGTTCTTTATAAGTAAGTAAAATGACCTTAAAATCTAGTGTAAAAGATACCAGTGTGATATGACCTGTTTTCTTTGTTTTTGTTCATATTCTAGCTGCCGCATTCTGAAGTACTTGTAACTTATAAGTGGTCATTTTCGGCAAAAGCGTAAAAAGGGAAATACAGTAGTCAAGGCGACTAGTGATAAAATCATGTATCGATTTTTCAGCATCATTGAGAGATATGGGGGGCAAAAACACACAGAAATGTATATATAATTAAACACAAAACAAATTCTAGCGATACCTTAATACAGTAAAATCATATAGCAAATTACTATTTCCATTACAGGATAATTCCCTACCTGGTTTTTACTCTGCTATAGAAAGTTCAGCATAAACAAGCGTGGTTAACAAAGATCGATCCTGAGCAGACTGGTGATGAATAGGATACTTTGGGAAAGATGGCTGATTACAAAAGGATACAAAAGGATACAGTTTTTGAGTGTGAAGGAACATTTCAATTAAATACAAGCAATGTTAAGAACGCTGAGGGAGAAAGTGGACTTTGGGTAAAAGGATTTTGGGTAACAGTGAAATAGAATTATTGCAGGGTTAAATGGGTTGATATCCTTGGCAATTTTATTGCAACGAAGCATCAGCATTAGTAGCCCTTTGTGGAATGGAGATTATTAGCTCTGGGGAAACAGGATGATAACCTTTTGGTATCAGGGTCAGCTCCTGTCCAACCCTACCCTTTGTGTCTCTTCCCCGTTTGGCCAGCAGGTGTCGCTGGCCATCCCATCCTGTCACTCCTCTCACACCCTTGTGTCTTTTCTTCTATTTTCCTTAACTGCCATATAGCCCAGTGGGCTGAGTGTGCAGCTCAGACTCAGCCCTGCTGGTCAGGGGTGTAAGTCTGGCCAACCTCACCTCTTTATATTTATCTTTTGGATTTTGTTTTTCAGTGTTTATTTTCCATATTAGCATTCTTGCGCTTGGTTGTACTTGTGTTCTGTTCCTTTCTGATTCTGTTTGATTATCCTTGCATTTTATTCCTAGTGTTTAATTCTCAGTTAATGTTTTCTATTTTTTTGGTATTTGTAAAGCTCTCTAGTTTCTGTGCCTATTAATTGTTAGTCCCACCTGTTGCCAGTTTCCTTGTGTCAATGTTTGTTGATTGGTTAATTGATTGACTTACACCTGTTCCTTGTTTGTCCTAGTTTTATGTGTATTTAAGTGCTTGCCCTGGTTTGTTCTGCAGTGTCATGGTATTAGGTTTCTGTGTTCCTGAGTTTTGCTCCCTTATTGTTAAGCAAGTTTGTTAATCTGTTTTTTCTTCTTCAAAAAAAAAAAATTCAAATGACTTTTTCACATGTTCTATGCTTTTCAATGGGCTGAAAGTGTCAGCTTCTCGTTCCCTAGAACCCAAGGCAAAGAAAGAAAAGTGTTTAAAGCTGTTTCCCATTTCTGCAACGAAGCAGAGACTGTACTATCAGCCTGAATACCATCATTGGTCAGAGAATATCACTGCTGTTTGCCTGTAATTTACAGCTTATAGATAATTTAAAAAAAAAAAAAAAATGTCGACATCCAGACTCTGAATGAAACCTAGAAGTTGGCAGGTAGGAACCAGACCGTGATTTCACAGCCGTGATTTCCGTTGGTGGATTTCAGATGTCCCACCCTTGCTGACACGACTCGACAGTCTTGTTTTTCCTTCGCTGACTCTCGTTTCCACACGCTGTGCATCCCAACAGCCAAGTTATCATCTGCAGTCATTTAGTATCCATAACACGTCGGTCATTGGTTTACAATCTCTGCATTTTTCTCGGACTGAAAGCCAGAATATTGTAGGTAGTATGATGCTACACTGTGAGTGAAAAGCTGTGTATTAAGCACTAGATGATGACTGAATTATTTTATAATTGAGCTCACACATAGCCAATGGCTTACAGGTCTTTAGATTACAGGATTAAAGGCCATAAAAATATTTATACGGCACCTCAAATGACCAAATTTAAATGTTTTTACATGTTCTCAAATATGTAAATGGACTAGTAGTAATGTATGTGTGTAAATACAGCCGCACAAAAAACACAGAACATCATTAATACTGTGCATAAGATCACCTTCAAAATGATTCCCTTCTGAATTGACACACAGCTGCATACCATGCTGCCAACATTCAAAGCAATTTCAAATTGACTTTCTCGGCTACTGCTGGCACACCCGACCCTCAGTCTTTTCCCATCGCGTCTCGTACTTTTTCAACTTTGCCGTCGGTAACAGCTGTGCATGTACGGCCTGGTCGATCGCGTGCACCCAACATGCACGATTTTCATCGTAAGCATCACTCAATAATCGAAGTTTTTGTCTCGGATTACTAAAGTTTATCAAGAAACTCTTAAATCGTTATTCGCCTTTGCAGACCACATTTTCCGACCGAGGGTAAGAACACGCCTATACTTGAAGATGAGTTCAGTTGCACTGAGGTAAGCGATCGAGCTGAGCCTTGTAACACCGTGACAAGTGAGAACATGTTCTGTAGGCGTCTCTCCCCCCAACACTCTTGGTTCCCGAGCTGTAGGGTTGGTGTTTTTTTTTTTTTTTTTGTCCGGTGTCGTGTGAGAGTAAAAACGTTGAAGATTTAACTTTAGAACATGCACACACAGCATACTTTATGGTCGTAATACTTTAATTTCTACCCTTGTGGCTTCCTGATAGGGAGTCAAAAATCGTTGCTGAGCTAGATCCGTTTCTCACATAAACCAAAAGAACAGACAGTAATTGATCCCTATAGGCAGATGTGCCTTTTAAATAACATTATTATTGCACAGATCTTTCAGTCTACCAGGATCTTTCCTGGGTACTATATGCGTGAAAATAATTAGCACTACTGTACATACACGTGGCAGTTGAAATGCACGAAGTAACATACTGCTGGTGGTGGGTGGGGGTGGTATTTCTACCTCCCTCTTTATTTTTTGCGAAGGGTACTTCCCCCAGAATGAAACGATTTAGTGGTAAGGGAGGGTGCACACTTGTTTGGTCATCAAGGTGCGACAGATAAAAATAATAAAAAATTGGGATCATTGGTTTTCATGCTATATATTTTAATTTTGTTAGAACACTCCCAGCAGTCTGCAATTGGTACAGCAGGTGGAGCTCAATAACTTTGTCAAGAAGACAAGACGGTTTCTTCATTTACTCCCTGGCCCTTGAAAAGCTTTTTACCATTTATGCTTTTGGTAAAAAGGACCAAAAACAGACAAAAGGGACAGTGCACATAAAATAAACAGTGTTTAATAGACAAAGCCAGTTTTATTTGTTTTTGAAACAAATTGAACATAAAGGCCAATTTTTGCCTTGCTCCCAGGATTACTAATGTAAATGTACTTCCATCTCATTCTATGGAGTTGGTTCTCCTGTTGTCATTTAGGCTCACATTCCAAGAACACTCTGTGTCAACAACGCCCCCCCCCCTTCTAATTGCTATTAGTCCTTGAGTGCCCTAATTCATACACACATTGTTTGGTCTGATCCATATGTGCCATCCTCTTAAGCAGTGATTCTCAACCGGTTAATTGTCGTCACCAATCTATTTTCATAGGGCCATGCATTGTGTGGTTTTCTTTTTTTTTTTTTGTTAAATTCACTTCAGGGTAGATCTTTCTATGTCCCACCAGTCTGCCGCATACTTGTCTCCGCAGGCTTAAGTTTATTTGAACAAAAGCTTATTTCAGGCATATTTTCTCTTTGTCCCAAAGAAGTTCTTCTTAGTCTTTGGATTGTGCTGTTTCTTACATCGTGGCAGAGGCACAGTTATCCAGCCCAGGCAGATTCCTAAGCATCTTCTGGGCATGAACAGCTCAATAATCTGTAGGTTTCACCTTTGCAGGTTAGTATCAGCAGCGTCCTTACAGCTCATGTCATCTGGAATCTTGTCATGGCCATTTTGGGCTGTTTTTGGTCTATAATCAGTTAGCAGCCGCCATCTTGCTCTGCGAAACTCAACTCTTGGCTACTGCCAGGATCCAAACAGCAGCTCTGACTTGTGATTTTATTTTTATCTATTCTGTTGTCTACAAAATCCATAAATAGGGTGATCTGTATGAGTTAGTAAAAGTATTGATTTCTGCAGCTCCCTTTAACAAAAACCTTGCTTGAATTTACAATTACACAGTGTTTTTGGACTGTGCACTTTA